AGTTACCTGTAATTTTGTTATTCTGTTTTGAATCTTGCCTGACAACATTAATACAAGCATGTCCTAAATCCAGAAACTACAGCACAGAAAAATTCAGTATTGTGTGACTAGTTTTGCAAGTAAAGCTGTAAAGATTTCTGTTGTACATGATCTGGACATCTGAAGTACTGCTGTAAAAGACTTTTAGAAGTCATTTAAATCCTGTACATGTTCTTTACAGCCAAGCAGGGAGAACAGCAGTGGAACATAACTTTTGCAAACAGTACTGTAAAAGGTATGACAAGTTGCATTGGTTACTTTTCTTAAGAAGACATGAGGTGTATCTTGCTGCCAAGCATCTAAACTTTTAAATGATTTGGTGCCAGTTTATTTAGGTGAAAAATGAATTTTCATTCTGATATTCACCCACAAAAGTCAAGCAGAATAATACTTTGTTTATTTTACAGGGCCATTAACTATAGAATAGCAGCTTATCTTTCTTACATTTAATCTTCGGAACAGCAAAGTCTACAGCCAGATCTGTTCAATTACTCTCTGTGATTTAAAGGAACTTTTTTACTTTCTGCAAATGAAATATCAATATAAGCACTTCAGAAATATTGAAGAACTTGATCCTTTCAACTGTTTTATTTATAGACATTTTATGTTGTTATATTTTATGTATCCGTTTGTTTTCTTTGTTGGCTTTACTAGGAAAGAACATAGTGCTATCTTTACCTTAAATTAGCTAAATCCATACATCCAATAAAAATAATCACTATAGGAGAGCTTATCATTGACCGCACTGCTGCAGCACCTTTTTATCCCTGCTTGCCATTCTCTGCTCTTTTTCATGATTTCTGCAGAAGCAGTCGACCCCTTTTGTCCTTACTTGAAGGTTTACCTAAAGCTACATTTTGCTCTCCTGCATCTTTGTCTTCTTCTTCTTCTTCTTCTTTTTTTTTTTTTTTGCAGCTGATTATCTAGACAGTGGCCTTGATATACACTCAGCAAGAACAGCACCACCATCTCTCAGCCAGGCTATAGCACAGCGATTCTGAGAGAAAACTTCTATTGTGTAAGGTATGCACTAAATAAAGCTATCTCATGAAAGGAATGAATTAAAATGTCAGTTTGTTGTGGAATAGCAACTAATGACCAGCTCTAACGTTTGCCTTAATTTTCATCTGTTTCCCCTGAGCTGATCTATATCTGATGGTAGCATAATGTGCAAGGAGAGAGTGTTTTTGAGAATGCCTCTTGGTCTGGACTGAATTGAGGGAAAATAGTTAGAGATTCCATAGCACCTTCTCCAGGGAGGTTATAGAAGGGGTTGGTTCTCTTTTTCTCCATGACTATCTACATGAATTATATAACAAAAATGAGCAAAAATGTTTAGCAATTCCAGATTTCCACTTCCTGTTATCTAAACTACAGCTGACAACTGAGCTTAGTTATGGGCTTGTACTGCAGTTTATGAGCATCTTTCTCTGATGACCATGTCCTTCGTCTCAGAGAAGGACAATTCAAATTAGCGTGATCTTCTACACATGTTTCTCTTAATAAAAGGCAGTGGTTGTGATTGCTGCTGCTTTCCACAGTAGTAGTTTAAACTTTACCTAACTGGACAGTCAGTTTAGGAGTCATTGCTTTTCCTCAGAGATCATCCGCAGAGGCTGAAAAGATGTTAAGAGATGATTAATAGATGCCTTTCTAAGGAGTAATAACTGTTCTCAGGATCCACATTTCATACATCAGTCTGCAGTGGTCTGCTTCAGCTTAATGCTGTATTGCTTGCCTATATAAGCAAATCAACATTTCCCTCATTAGGGAAATGCATATGCATTTTTTTTGTTTCAAAGTATGAACTGGAGAGAAGGAAATTGGCATCTCCTTTGCATGAGGTATTCACATAATCTACTAGAAATGCTAAAAAGGGTACTGTGCTTACTGATATACAAGCTCCAAGAAAACCAGAAACAAGAATTTGTTTTCATTCATACAGTGTCTCTCCCTTGTGGCTGAATTACAGGTATCAAAATATTGATAATTTAGTAGACTTTTCTAGGGATATCCAAAATAACTTGAACCATGACCTTGGGCTGCAGAACACTATCAGTGAACCATAACTGCTGGTATTGTCTGCATCCTGCTTCTATGTTTAACTTCATTGTCTTTTCTGTGATAAACTGTAAAGCAATGTATCAAGTTAGCAGATTACTGATGCCCTGCTGGAAAATTTGTAGAGCAAACATGATTTTAAATTAGATCACTAAAAGAGTGAACAAGTCAAATCTGTGCAAGGCAACTTTACGTAGCATACATTGGATTGACAGGCAGAAATTAAAAACTAAATGTGCTTATTTGGATAGAGAGGATTTTATGAGACACGAGTTGCTTTAATGGACACTAGGAGTCTAGCTAATTTATATATGATTATTCCTGTTCTGTGAAAAAAATCTGAATCTACCCAACTCTGCTATGAATTTTTAAAGATTTTTGCTATGATGCAGTCTAGCAGCTAGCAAAGGAAGGACAGCTAAATAATGTTACATATATCCCCACTGTTCTTTTCTGAGAACAGGGAGGGAAGACTTGAGTCTTATTTTAATAAAGCCCTTTACACCATATCAAAGGTGCAGGGGGACTGTAGGACAAATATAACTAGTTTTTGCTTTCTTGAAGTCCGTATTCCAATGACAAAAAGTGCAAAGTAGATGATAACAAGATGTGTTGGCCTTAATCAACGTGTGTTGATTTAAATGAACTGAAAGTCTGGTTTACTATCTGGAAAAGTCTGGTGTATGTCTAACGTGTGTATGTTTTGTTTGATGCATTGGCTTTCTTCCATTTGTTCACTTCCCGTGCTAAATTCCTGTCATATCAATTTGCAATTATTCCTTAGAAAATAGAGCTGAAGTAGGGGGGTTTCTCCCCCAGTTTATTTATTTTCTTTTTAATTTTAGCCTAAGGAGAAGTTATTCAGCAACACTTTTCAGAAAAGTTTTGCCTAAGCTACAGATAGTGCTTATCATTGGTGATGACATAGACAGAAAAATGATACTTCTTCCACTGAAATGACATTGCTTTAGGAGATCAGGAGATTTTATTTTTATCACTTCAGTTTGTAGTTATGTAAAATTTAACATTTTTTCTCCAGTTTTGGGTTCCACGTTTTCAGAACTTTTTTTTCAGGATGTATAGCCCATTTCCCCATGACAATATTCACAAAACCTTTAGAAGGCTGACAGAACCACATTATTCAAGCACCTAAAAAGATTCAGATACTTCTGATGGTCCTTTTGAAAATCCCTCTGGATACCTTTCTGCATTTTCAGATACAAAAATACCTTCAAAAATCTGGCCCTTACTTACCAACTTCTAACTAAACAGATTTGCAATGTATCTATTTCTGTTTTCATGGTCTGTTTAAGGGCATTGATTTAAAATACCATTTTTTCCTTTCTTTTTAGAACCATTGATTCATTCCTCAACATTTCCATTTTCAGAGCAAGATAAATTGATACTGCACAGTTTACTATATAAGGCTCTGGTGGATGTGCTTAAAACTAAGTTCCTCTTTGTCTTACCTAGACATTAATGTTTTCATTGTCCTCATTAAGGGTAGATTTGCAGTTGTTTTCCTCAAAAATGTTGCCTCTTCTGCTCTTCCTCCTTTTTAGGACTTTCATGCTTAACTTGAGTATAATTCTTGACTGCTTCTCTGCATCTCAGGGATGCTGTAAAACACTTGAAAGAAATGATGTTATATAAGTATAAATTATTATCACTGAACTATAGGTATTTCACAGTAGTGATTGTAGCACTGTTACTCTGCAAGATATTTAGTCAAAGAATGGCATATCTGCCAGAGCACTGGAAATTAATGTCCTGTGTTCAAATAACAAATATGCTGAATGAGGCTATTATGTGAATAATACATAACAGCAAATTGATGTTAGTGACGTATGTCACTGATGGGGCATAGAGGAACTGGCTTAGGCGCCAAGGTAATATTTTGCTGTGGTGACTTCGGTGAGGCTGGGAATTTGTTAGTTTAACTCTGAAGTTGGAATCCACTGGCTTTATCACATGTTAGAAAACTACTTCAGTATCACTCTGTTTATGACAACCAGAATTGCATGAATACATTTGTCTGCAGAATTTTTTTAGATGCCTTCCCCGCTTGCCAAGTTAAGAATTGAAATTTTTTGGAAATTGATATGACAGATGAGCAGGTACTGAAATCATCAAGGTTATTAATGGTATTTTAAACATTTCAGGTAAAGTTCTCCTCTCAGAGGTATAAAGTCTGACAATAAATACAATTAAAAACTTCATGCTCAGAAGCAAGAGGAAAAAGTGGCCTTCCCGGTTTCTCAGTATTTCAAAAGATGTGATTGCATACTGGCTATGGTTATGGAGCTATAGTATTGTCTCCCTTTTTTCTCGTATGACTTTATGCAGGGCTCCATATTTATATCAGTGCTCCTGAAAGCAGAACACAGTGACTATCCTCCTTATTAGAAAAAGATCTTCCCAGTTATTAGAATTTTGGTCAAATTTGCACATTATTAAGAATTGTCTATCCATTTGAGCTAGCACAGAGACTTTTAGGTCATTCTTTTCTCATTGATTTTACCCATCACATATTTAACTATAAATAGGAAGCTGCGGTGTAGGTTCCTTGTGAAATTGGTTAAGGGTGGTACTACAGGTGTCTCTTTCAGAAATTGATATAACCTGAGACCCTTTACCCTTTGTTAGCAGAGAGACAAAGATATTAAGGACTGAATGGGAAAGTAAACAAAACCCATTGAGTGATGAACATTTTGAGAGAACTGCAGGGAAACTGCATTTTCACTGATTTGGTGTCCTCACAGATAGATTTGGGGTCATTTGCCACACATTCTTCCTCATCTAGAGTGTTTGAATACTAGACTGGTGTCTAACATCAGTCAAGAAGTAAAAATGAGCTATGGGCTCACTCCATTTTAAATGTTTCTAGTGTGTTTGTTAGTTCATAGGTTCATTTAAATGAGAAGATGCAGTGGATGAAGATAAGGCGTGCTAAAACATACGCACCAAGGCTGAGGTGAGACAGCATAAAGCATTCGGTGACTAAACGGGCTTTGTGTTACCCTCCACTTGGCTACAGCATGCTACCTCTCCAGTTGTGTCTGCATACCAACACCTTAAAAGAAACATATAAAAATAGTACATCAATTTCCTGGCCCAATTCACAGGATAACTGCCCATAAAGTTGTTATCAGCCCGAGGACAGGAAGTACAATGGTCTTGAAACAAATAGCAGGAGAGGAGAGGACAGGAGTACCTCAAGGTGCTGTAATAGGTAAAGACTTTTCTAGTTTGATAGGCTAATTTTCAGTGTCAGTGTTGGTATGAAAGGTCGTCTCACACTCAAGTCTGTTCAGGGTTGCTTGTGTTCGAGGATTGCATGAAGAACTGAACAAGGGACATCAGGCAGCTGAAAAAACTTTTTTTGCTTGGGTTCTTTTTAGTTGAATCCACTGCTGTTCTGGCAAAGCTTTGGCCACCTTAAGCAGTATATCTGAATGTCAAACCATGGCCAGTGTCTCCTGAAACAACACTTCGAATTACTCATGTGAAGAAAAAGAAATGGAGGAGGAGTCACCCGCCAGCAAATAGTTATTACTAGACAATCAAATATAAGAGATGATGGTTGGTCTGCCAAGGAAATGGCTGCAATTTTAAAGAGCTGAGGTCCCTAAGTTAGTAGGAGCAATGCCAAAACTGTCTCCTAAATAAGGTAATGTAATGAAGAGTTTAGCAGCAATACCCATGTAATACCTTCCTACTGTCTGCACTGAGCACATTGTCCACCTAGCTGGTTCAGCATAACTGTTAGTAGGGCGAACAGGCATGGAGGTGGAGAAGAGAGTTAATTCTACTAAGCACTTTCTCCTTTATGTTTAAATTGATACCTCCAGTATATCCAGCGGTCTGTTGCCACAGCTAAGCACACCAATTCAAGGGCACAGGAGAAGAGGCATCTTTTGCTGGCAGATGAGCAGCAATAAAACGCTCATGCCTGTAACAAGGTGGAGTGAACATGTCAGAACTCTGCAGGTCCACACAGAGTCTGTGACACCCATTTTTAGGCTTAACTCTGAGACCAGGAAAGGCTCTTCATTTTCCTGAGCTGTCAATTCCTGTTTGTTTTCATGAACACATGCTAATTCACTTGCAAAAATCCATTTTTCATGTATTACCCTATTTATAAAGAATGTTTAATCTTTTCCTTTATTTGGCATGCTTCAAATTTAACTTTCTCTCATACGGCTGCAGAAAAAAGTTCTTGTGTGAGTCACAGAAAAGGAGCATCTGAGGCAGTTTAACTTTATATTATTTTCTTTTCAGGTTGTGAATGCCTGTGCATGAGCTGATGCTAGTTTATTAAATATGAAAAACGGCACTAGGATTTTAACATCACTTGATGTTAAATAATTAACTTGGAAAACTAATGCCAACATCATAAAACATGGTATGCATGATATTCAATATACAGCTATTTTCAATAATAAATATCTTATGAAATTCATGTAACTGAAGCCCACACAAGAATAGTGAAGCTGCCAAAATTGGTATCATATCCAGTTGGCTTATTCAGCAAGAAACCAACTGCTCCACAGATGCTCTTTTTTTCTATGAGAAAAGAACCTCTTTTGCAAGTCTCCTGTCTGCAAAATGTTTAATATGAACTTTTCTCCTGCAGGCTGTAAATCATTTATTCATCAAACCCTTTTATTTGCAGCAGATGGAAAAGTTGGTACAAATTTAAAAACAAAAAAGAGGGAAGGCTAGACATGTAGTGGATAATAAGTCTTACTGCATTATTTTGCATTGGCTTTTTAAAAAGAAAAGTAAGACCTTATAGCATGGGAATGAACCAATATTCAGGAATGGATATGGATGCCTTTTCCCTATTTCAGGGACACAGACAAGCACTGGATAAGAAACTGTGCTTCCTGAGAAGGCTTGTTCATCATGTGTAAGGATGTGAACTCAAGGAATGAAGCTATGGTAAGACCTTCCCCTGTATGCAGTCTTCCATTACTATCCACTTCCATTGTCCTTGTCTGTTCATTTCACTGTCTAGCCCTGGTCCCAGCCTGTGTTGACAGTCAAAATGAACTAGTTGTTCCGTTCCTGTAGAGTTATCCTCTTTCTCTTTCTTATTCCCCTTGCACAGGTACACCCAGGTTGAGGTGACAGAATGAAAAGATACTACAATAAAAAAGACATGGTGCAGTTTAATTTCTTTTCCTCCACCACATGTGCACTTCTTATGTTACCTTTGGTTTGGCTACATTTCTGTAAGCTCTTGTTATCTGTCTACATAACATAGCTTGCGTTACTGCTCATACCTCATTGTACCTGTACACAAATTGACAGGGGAAGAACGATGTCATTCCCACACTGATCAAGAGATCTCAGATTAATTACGTTGTTTTGAAATAAGTACTCTTCCAGGTCTGAGTCTGAGTAGGTGTCATAATATTTCCAATAACATAGGTGCCACTCTAGCAACAAAAAAATATTCCTTTGATTATACATTTCTATTTACCAAATACATTAGGTAAATACTCATATGTGACCATGTGACAATGTAATGCTCCTGTAATGCAAGGAGGGAGACCTATAAAGCTGAATTTTATCCGATTAAACTTTAAAACATTAGAACAAACATGCAAAAAGTATGTTTTGGACTCCATAATGCTTGTGCTTTCCCATTCATTTTAACAGCATTTTATAGCTTACCCATAAGAACATGAACCTGCTGTCTTATGGGGTTTTAATATTATAGTTAATCGCAGGACAGATGTGACGCAGAAGTATATTGGAGAAGAAAGAGGAATTTCACAAAATTTAGTAAGGGGAGATTCCATGAGAAATCTGTTGTGTAAAAAATACTGCAAAAACTCTTGGTTTTGAACCTCAGTGTTATCTGGTCTGAACTGTGTTGAGTTCTGCAGGCTGGCCTGTTCATTTCAAGACAGTTTGACTACAGGTTAATATTATTGTTGAAATACTGTTTGTTGAAAACCCAGGAGGTGAGGTATACTACTTACTCTGCTGCTTTACTGTGAATGCATACAGGTTCCTGATTCTGTAAGCCTCATCCATATTAAGTGAACAAGAATTTTGCCATTAACTTCAGAACAATCCTTTGTTCAAGCAACTGTGCCTTCATAATTGAAACTATGTGTCTGAGTTTTATTACAATTGTTCTTTTATGTTAAGGGTCCCTCATGCACCTGCTGTCTGGGGCTGAGGCCTTAGATTGTGCTTTGGTAGAGCATAATGTCAATAGCAAGTAAAAAGGTGGTATCATTATGATAGTATTATTGACCTGGAAGTTAATTAAAGACATTGCTTTCATAGACAACATAAAGAGATATCCAAGCCAAAAATTTCATGTCCCATATCATTAAACAAAAATAAGTGTTCTCAGGCCAGTGAGACCAGCTGTTCTATGCATCCAGCTGCTCCCCACCCTTACTTGCACATTTTATATATCCCAGAAGGCATTTAAAATCTGCAGCATCACTGTTGAGTTTATTGCACTATTAACTTAAAAACTGCACCAACTATGGTGTGAGAGTCAAGTAGAAGATTTACTGAGAATGGGTTATTGTTGCAAGAAAAGTGAGTGCTCATCTTCCTCTGCTAAATTCTAAGACACATAAAAGCAATTTCTTTTCCTTCTGGCAAACTAAATATTAATAAAAGTTTCTTCCATTCAGATAAGATCTTTGCATAGCTTCCACCAGTAACTGGCCTTTGCAATGCAATTACATTGCAAAATTAAGGAATTAACATTCACTATACAATCCTTCCAATTTAACTGGGCACTTAAGAGAGAGGCTCATATGAATAAAAGATACTGGGTTAAGAATGTGGAAAGAATAGCAGTAGGGCCAAATGCTTGCTTCAGCTGGTATGCTCCTAATAGCAGGTTCAACGTGCTTTGTTTACATATGTTAGTTCAATTTATTACTTTTGCCTGACTGTACTTATTACTTTATTATTTTTATTCCTTTTTTACTGTATGAGAGAATATCTACTTGTCCTGAGTTTAGATGTTTATTAATAGTCTTGAAAAATTTCATTCACAGTGTGAGCTAAATTGGGACTGCCAAGTCACAGACTTTGGAGAAGAAGAAATAAGAAGAGATACTCCTCTTAGAAGTACTTTTGATGTACACCATCTTGCTTGTGGTGTGCATATGTGACCTTTCTTAAATGTCTGGTCAGCCATGCTAGCTAAAGGAGAAGAAAGATACATCATAATATTCCTAACCCCATCTTACTTCTCTTTAGACATTTGGAGTCTGTGTGGGTGACAACAGGGAATGAGAAGTCTGGCTTCCTGGAGATACTGAGTCTGAACATGCACACAGAGGATGAAAAGTGAGATGATCAGACCTGAGCCCCACATAGGAAGTTGCCAAATAAATATTCTGTGGTGGTAAGTGTCTCACACACTCTTCGATGGGTGCAGTATTATCATAGAATCACAGAATCACAGAATCGTTTAGGTTGGAAGGGACCTCTGGAGATCATCTAGTCCAACCTCCCTGCTCAAGCAGGGTCACCTAGAGCATATTGCCCAGGATCACATCCAGACGGGTTTTGAATATCTCCAGCGAAGAAGATTCCACTACCTCTCGGGGCAGCCTGTTCCAATGCTCTGTCACCCTCACAGTAAAGAAGTTTTTTCTCAGGTTCAGATGGAATTGCCTGTGGTTCAGTTTGTGCCCGTTGCCTCTTGTCCTGTTGCTGGGCACCACGGAGAAGAGGCTGGCCTCATCCTCTTGACACCCCCCCCTCTTGACACTCCCCCTTCAGATACTTGTACACATTGATGAGATCGCCTCTCAATCTTCTCTTCTCCAGGCTGAACAGGCCCAGCTCCCTCAGCCTTTCTTCAGAGGAGAGATGTGCCAGTCCCCTCACAATCTTTGTAGCCCTCCGCTGGACTCTCTCCAGTAGTGCCATGTCATGCATGGGATTATTCCTGCCTAGGTGCAGGACCTTGCCCTTGCCTTTGTGGAAGTTCATGAGGTTCCTCTCTGCCCACCTCTCCAGCCTCTCCAGGTCCCTCTGAATGGCAGCACAGTCTTCTGGTGTGCCAGCCACTCCTCCCAGTTTAGTATCATCAGCAAAGTTGCTGAGGGTGCACTCTGTCCCTTCCTCCACGTCATTGATGAATACATTGAACAAGACTGGACCCAGGACTGACCCCTGGGGGACAGCACTAGCCACAGGCCTCCAACTTGACTCTGCGCCATTCACCACAACCCTCTGAGCTCGGCCATCCAGCCAGTTCTCAATCCATCTCACTGTCCACTCATCTAGCCCACACTTCCTGAGCTTACCTAGGAGGATGTGATGGGAGACGGTGTCAAAAGCCTTGCTGAAGTCCAGGGAGACAACATCCACTGCTCTGCCCTCATCTACCCAGCCAGTCATTCCGTCATAGAAGGCTAGCAGATTGGTCAAGCATGATTTCCCTTTGGTGAATCCATGCTGACTACTCCTGATCACCTTCTTGTCCTCCAGATGCTTAGTGATGACCTCCAGGAGGAGCTGTTCCATCACCTTTCCCAGGATGGAGGTGAGGCTGATCATACTCCTAATGCAAATAGACTCAGGCAATCTTAAAAAAAGGGTAGATCTTTTCCAAGATGGTTCAAATCAATGTTGATTTATTCAAGCACTGTAGATACTATTTCAGCTTCAGCATCAGGAAAAAAGTATAAGGAAAGCAAAGCTCATGCAAAATGATAATGAGGTAATAACTTCAGCTTTTTTTTCCCCTAGGACACCCCTTTCCCTGCTTTTGTTTTATGCACCACTCATGAAGATAACTGAGGGGCAATCATTATGGTTAACTTGTTCATGGGACAGACATTATGGTTTAAACTTTGTCCTCTTCAGTACATGCAAGCACTCACATTCATCCATGTTGTGAAGCAAAGGGCAAGGCTTAGTCCTGCAGTGCCACCCTGATTAAGGGCTTGATTGGCAGTTCCCCTTGGACATTGGATTCTTGTAAGGTTTGTATTTATTTTGTTCTTTGCAAGAGTGATCACGGACTTGGCTGACAGCCTTGAGGAAACAGGCCTCTGGAGCAAGACCCAAGTGGTTGTACTTTAAACCTGAGATGATGATAGAGTTTTACAAAAGGAATACCTGTATTGCATAATGCTGGAAAGATATTTTCAGGGGATTTTTTTTCTTCTGTGAATAGATATGATTTCAAAGCTCACTATTAGAATTTCAAAAAATCCAAATCTGAATGCATTTCTGCCTCTTTCTTTGTTCTCTCTTCACTTTCTTCTATTTATATATTTTTTTTGTATTTTGGGCATTTTTTGAAATTACACTAGCAAATACATTTAAATGCAGTGATGCATTTGTGGAAAGTGAATGTTGTCCCTGTTATGCTGAGAATTTGCGCTCAGCATACCAGAGCTAAGCATTGTAACTTGTGAATTAGCACTTAGGGCATTTGTTGCGGGTAAATATTACCATTATTAGTTTCAGTGTGGGGGTGATTTGCTGGGCATTCGCAAAGTAGCAACCACACAGCTAGCTGTGCACCCTCCAGGCTCAGGCACTGTAGAATCCTGCCATCCCTGCACAAGGCGTTCCCAGTAGGTATGACATACTGTCTATGGGACACTTATGAACTCGAGGTGTAGCGCATGAGTCCTGTGAACTTTTGTCTCAGGATGTCCCCTGAAGTGGTCAGATTGCAGTGTGAAAAGCTTGTAGCTAGGAGCATGTCAAGGTCCTAGAGGCCTCGAATATCCAGTACTGTCTCCAAAGTATCCCCAAACATGAGGCTGTATTCTTTCATAGGACTTCTGAGGATGAGGAGAAATAGTCCTTGTTTATTGCCTCCTGTAGTCTCTTTCCTCCTGCAGTTCGCTCACTCCTTCTCTTCTGGTTGCCTTGACCCCAGCCACTTCACCTCCTGATCCCACAGAGAACATGCCATGAGGTCCTAGCGCTAAGACAGTAAGTTACCCAGATGGTTGTTACTCCCCTTTCTACGGAGACTAGCCCATAAGACAAGTCCAAATGCAGGGACATCCTGCTTAGTGACAGGCAAGTCACTGACATGAAGCAGCATTATACATCTAAAAGCATTCACAGTACCAAAATTAAGCATCAATATTGTTATGGCATTCACAGTTCCAGGCTTGTGCCACGTGATGCACCATCCTGCACGGCCTGCTGCAGGTGAACTTCATGCATCCCTGCCCTCTGGTATTCCTCTGGCTCCTTGACTGAAGAGGTAGTACCTGATTGTCCCCTCTGCACTAGCAATGGGGAGGCAAAAATGCAGACGGAGTGCTGCATGCCCCCTTTCTTTTTTGCTGCCTGGCAGTATCTTTCCTTTTTCCCAGCAAAAAATTGGTGACTGTAGGATCAGTCTAGGATTGTAAGGAGGGAATAGTGAAGGTGGGACTATACTAATGTGGGAAACCTTTCTTCTGGGCTGAAATCTCTTAGGTCCAGATGGTTCCTACAAAGATAATATCAGCAGGGAAATGAGATAATAATGAGTGGAGAAAAATATACTGTCCCACCTTACACAGAACTCCTTGAAGTTCTCTTTTCTAAAACTTTAATAGGACCATGATACTTTTTGATACTGTAATCTTTTTTTTTGGTATATGTCTAATGAAAGATGCAATATTCTTGCTGCCAGGAATTCTGTGTCCTTGTTATAAGTTCTGGGTCAGTGATGAACCATGAAGGAACAACCTAGTAGCAAACAATTACTTACCAATGAATCCATTAGGCTACTGTTGAATTCCTAAGTAACAATTAACCAATGTCTAAACTGAGTTTGAGTCCTAAGTTATGGTCTTCCAAAGAAGCAACTGATGAACAAAAGAGAAGGGAAAGATGCAATTCAGAAAATATTTTATTGAGTACAATACCATTTCATTGTAGGTTTTCATCAAAGGTTTACTTTATAAAACAACACCAACAACCTCTCTGAGGTTGAATCCAGCTTGGGCAGGTGCACAAGAAGTGGGAGAGAGAGGGGCAGCATTTGCAAATTTTCATGCAAACAGCGTCATATGAGATATTTGCATCCAGACAGTACCTTGTCACAGTGCCCAAGTTTGCACCATCCCACCAGAAAAAAATTACTGCATCTATATTTAAATTTTGTAAAGGATTGTAACAATCAGTTGCAAGTCCAAATTTACACAGTGCTGTCACTGAATGTTCAATGGGTATACTATAGATCTTAAACTGAATATTAGGAATTCATAATGGCAGTACTCTAGAAAGCCTTGTCTGGAGAAAGGATTAGCTCTAACTCAGAAACTGATGGCTAACAAAACATCAGAACTCCTACTGTAGACAAGGGGAGTTGTAGTTGTTTCTAATGGAACGCACTGATGACTAACTTCCATTTTTTTGTAGATGGAAAACCATAAGAATTCATGGAATTGAGGTTAATTCCACAACAAACAAGGCTGGAATGCAATCAAGATTTGTAATTATGGTTCTTGGAAGGAGAGCAATAGAACAGTAATCCACGGGCAATTTTCATTAGCATGAAGCAGCTGCCTAGCTCATATGAAATAGCCTTAAATGGGGTACAGGTGTGTTAATATACGTAAGAATGAAGTTGTTGTTTACTAGAGTTTAGACCAGGTAATTTTTCTGGTGTACGTATTGGTTTTCAGTGGTTGCAAAGCATAAATATGTGCTATAAAATTTAGGAACAGTCATAAGCAACCTTTAAAATGTCCCCATATTGCTTACATTTTTCTCTCACCTCACTTTCTTTCATTATGAAGTATATATACCTTCTGAGATTGCAGGAAGTTTTCAGGTTGGCTGTAGTTCTGCAACTAGTAGTAGATTTTATGAGCTGGTCCCCACAGAATCTTAAAAATCTGCCATGAAACTAGCACTGTACTTCCAAAGAATTCCAGGAGCACTTGCTATAACATTAAATATGAAGGTAAGTGCAGCATTTAATATGTCTTATTACAGAGCATTCCGTTGTCCCTTGGATGTGCATGTCCCGGCATGTATCAGAAGTACCACTTTTATCAAGAAATAATTTTGTTTAAGCAGGATGGAACACTTTCGCTAACCACAACAATATTTTCAAATAAAAATAAGTTATTAAACAACATGATTTAAAGCAAGAGAAAGGGAAATGTAAAGTTTAGTGTATTCATTAGCAATCAGAGGAGAAAGTCCAGAATAGTCCAGAAAGACCAAAATATTCAGATAATTCAGAAAGGTTCTGTTGAAATGAATCTCTTATTTCTTAAAAAGACAACACATTCTCAAGAGAGTATCTTTTGCAGTGAAATATTTTAGTTTCTTCATATAGACACATAATACACAATGTTAACAACCATGAAAAACAATACAAAATGCTTTCAAATTTAACAAGTAGAAAAATATAACTAGTATATATGGCAATTGTGAATCTAATACTGTACAGAAATATTTATGGATTTTACAAATAAATTATAGCTTAAATGCCCTTTTTAAAATTTCTAAATGTACATTGGAACATAGGTTCTGAAGCTTACCACTAACTTGCCACAAATGAGTGCCAGTCAAATGTTCTGCCAACAAGCTCAAAAAATTTCTTGTTGGGCTCATGGAAATATTCATGCAGTTTCTCAAGTAACCGGGTATCTACCTGTGGGTGCGCTCGTCCTTTGGACTCATGTAAACAACGTTCCCTACCACTGTCCCTTAGGCAATAGAAGCCTTTGGTTTTATTGAAGTAAAAGTTTGAAGCATTTATCTGTGGCGATAACTTCAAAAATCTCTCTACCTTCTCTATTTCTGGAAAGGGATCTTTGATTAGTTTATCCCCATCTACAATATGGATGCGATCAAGACGAAAATACTTCAACCAGTTTTGCATGTGAATGTAATATAAGCTTCTGTTTATTGCCTTGTAGTCCACATTGAGTTCACCATCTTTAATCAGGAATTGCTCAATGGATGGATACGGCTTGTGCTTCTGCATGTGGTTATAAAACACTTGGGTGTAGTCTGATAGAACTCTCTCACTTGGGTCTCTTAAAATCAGAAGTAATCGCATTGATTGGTTCATGTTATAAACTCTTTCAGGCACTTTCGGTGATGTGAAATATGCTGGAGTTTTTTCCACGGTGATCTGATGGGGATAAGAGAATGGCATTTGATTAATATACCACTGCAATCCGTTTCTGTAATGATCTTCCCAGTCAAAGAAGTGAACTTCACTTTCTGCTGCCGCGATGTCTGGATGGAGGCTCAGCATCTCTAACAAAGCTCTCGTTCCCCCTTTTCTCACTCCAATAATGATAGTCTGTGGCAGCTGCTGGCGCGATCCATTAGAATGAATGTTTTCCTTGAAGTCATTTTTCTGAGATGTTTTCTTTAAAAGCTCTCTCTGAACAGACTGAGAAGAGGTCTCAGCCTTTGAATTCACAGCCGGTCTGGAAGGCACTATGTGAGGCTGAACAATAAGCAACACAGCTCCCAGCAGAAAAGCTGCCATGACAAGAGGTTCTTGGTCCGGTTTCACTCAAGCAGGTAATGGGGCATGGAGTGATTTCCACAGAGAGCAACCTTTAAAGGTTGTTTTTGTTTTGCTGAGCGAACGCGTATTTCTCAAACAGAAACTTTGCTGAGGAAAAAAAAAGAAATATTTTATACTCAGATATATCGCTGCTAAAGCCATACTGCAAGTGTTTTTTTCATATTCAAAACTCATCAAACTTGTTTAGCTTTTCCAACTTGAGGCTCATAGAGCATTGGCTGGAATTAAATTCTTCAAGGACAGGCACATACAATAATGCTGTGAGAAAAGGATTTCCAGTCATCAGGACATACGAATATTTGGAATCTTTCTCTTGCACCCAAGAGTCATCCAGAGTACTATTTTTTATTATTTTTTCGTAAATCTGATTTCAGTGGAGCTGAATCACTACCAGGAGAATTTAATGCTTTTTCTCTGCAGGAATAGGTTGTGCGAAAGGAAGAAGCTCTACTCTGGTCTAAATGACTACGAGAAAACATTTTTTGTTTTAGTGAATCATCTTTTGCAGGCTATTTTCTGCGATAGTATGAGGAGACCTGCGTTCTTTTTCTCAAGGCATAAATGCATGTTTGTCTTGGAAAAGAGGGTGGCATGCACTCTTGTCCTGCAAAAAGGTAAGATAACGGTTATAATTATAAACGATAGTATGTCTGCATCAGCAAAATGCTAAAAGAGCTATGGTCCCAGTCCAAACACTCAGAAGAGAAGATATGTAATGGCTGCTTCAGAAGGTCATTTCCAGAACTGGCTAGCAGGCTGCTGTGATGACGTACACAACTACATTTGGCCTTTGTTTATGAAAAGACTAGTAAATACTGCAAACAAGCTTAAATGTCAGGATTTTTTTAATACAATGTTTGGAGTGGTATCTTAATGCCTTCTCAGCCTCTCTCATATCACATGTGTGAAAGTAGCAAACCTGTTATATTGTTATGTTATAAGCTGGCTGTATATGTAAGCTTCCTATATTAGGATGCCTCCTAAAGATTCTGTGACCTCGGTGAAGGGGTACTGTAAGTAGGATTTTGCTATTGTATCACTCCATATAGAAGTGGAGGCCATGATGGCAGAGTACCTGGCCTTACTAGGCCACTGCAGTACTGAATTTCAGCCTGGAATAACTTGTGCTGCGTGAGCTGACGAGGCTGGAACGCGAAATTACGTATGAACAACCTGAGGAAATGCAAGGGCTAGGATTCAGAAATTCTCCCGAGAATCTGAAAAGAAACTAATGACTTCCACAATAAGCTAAGTCCCAGTGTGACAAGGACTAACGATGTGTTTCTAAGCAATCTAGAAAGTTCTGTTTGACATTTTGTCATTTACAAAGGTCATGTCTCCATCCTGAATGGAGCACGCCTGTTTCCTGATGTTTGCTAATGATTATTAGTTTTATGCTTTCACTTTTCTAATGGCTTTTAAAAGGCTACAAAGCAGCTGCATTGTTAGGAAGCAGAAATCAAGGGTGGGAGGTGAGGGAAGCACAGCCTCGTGGTGGACCTAAAGCCATGGGAATCTGCTTCCCTGGCTGCCTGTGGGCTTTTAGCTCATGGCCATGCCTTGTCTTGGGCAGAAGGTTATGCCCTGGGCTATTCTGTGATGTCTGATATGAAGAAACTTCACAGAGAAACTCGTTCTTTCCTTTTTGGTCACTGTTACAACTTTTACCTGGCTTAAAAGAGTTCCATTTCGGCTGCCGTCAGTAATCTTCTGCTCTCTTTCCCAGTCCTCACCATGCTTTTAATCTTTCTGAGTTTAATCTAGCTGAGTTTTTTTCAAGAAATATTCTTAATTAATAACCCCTCACTGGGGGGCACTGGGTGACAATTTAGTACAGGTGAATTCATGGTCTGTGTCCCCAGTGAACTAGCTACTGCCATATTTAGGTGTAACGTGATCAAATGGTACAGCAACAGTCCGTTTAGATGGGTGACTGCTGAGTACATAAGAGCAACAAAACATCAACTCTTGTTGAATTTTAAGGTCACAGATTAAAGGAATAGCCACTTACTCCAGAGTGTATTTTAAGAATGACTAGCTCCATAAATAGTCTGAGTTGTTGCCTTAACACCTTACTGGAAAAGCATAATAGGATTTCAGTGAGGAACAGGTTGAACTGTTGCTGAAATCAGTTAAGTTAAAACCTGACAGTGGAAGCCCTTATTTCTTAGTAGCCAGATTGAAATATGCTACACTAATAACAGAGTTCTGCAATAAGCAATCTGTCTCTACTAAAATTAACTTTTAGCTGCTGCACTTAGTTATTAATGCCACAACACATTGCTGGGATTTTTTTTTTTTAAATGAACTATACATATCAGTTCATGGGACTGTTTTTTAATTTATAGTTTATGTATTACTCAGTTAACAGCTTTTAAGAAGCCTTCCCCCTGGCTGGGTATGTTCCCAAACATGGGAATGTTTGGGTGGAATAAAGTATGCAGCAAAGTGTTTAACTGCAGCTCTACTCTTGTCTTAGGCTCACATGGCTCTGTTGGGAATCGGGCTTGTGGAATATTACAGCTGTGGTACCAAGGGCCTTGCTTCAGGTAGCCCCTTGAGCCTCACTGGAGATCTGCCTCGTTGTCTTCTCATTCCTAACTGAATTATTTGTTTTGAGTGTGGTTTTTTTTCCCTAAATAAACAAAAGTAACTGCTTTTTGTTACAACACGCAGAATAACTTGGGAGTATCTTATGCTTCAAACATATGGAATTTGGGGTTTTTTACTTTTTTGTTGTTTTCCTACTACTTGTTCATGTGTGATCAGGTGTTCCACACTGCAACATGGTATCTGTAGTATTTACTGCCTTTATGCATACCTAATGAACCACGTCGGTAACTATGCCATTCAAAGTACATATATGCTGTTGTTGTTTTACTTGCAAGCAGTAAGGCTTTGTCTTTCTTTTCATTCTCTTTTGTTTCTTTCAAACTGTATAGCTTCGATATCTGGACCAGTGATTGTGTTGTGTTAGACTAGTGCATCACCACGGACATGAGCGTTCCTCTAAATTCAGCGCAAAACATATGTTGTGTGGGCAAAGTGGTGTCCAGGAATAAAACTGCATATAAATTGGTTGTCATTCAACTTTCTTCTCTTATGCCCTCTTTAGTGCTTTATGCAGATCTGCAATTTGGTGACTAGAATTACAGCAGTTTATATAAAATGATGCAAATGTATATTCCATAGCTTTGTAATTTGTAGGTTCGAAAAACTGTTTCAACAATAATAAGCATGCACTGAAGAGTTTATAGCAGCCACTCTGCCAAATTACTTTTCTGCTTTAACAATTCTCTTCACTGCCTCCACCAGTCATTCAGAGCATACATGACTTCACTGAATAACTCTGTATTCCAGATTAGTACAAAAATTTAACTGACAGTTAGTAGTATTGTATTTGCAACCAAAAAAGGAGCAAGTTGGTGAAAGAAACAGTTTGTTAAATAGTGCTTTGAAGATTATACGAAGACTTTTTTAAAAGTCTGATTGCTTTTTCTTAATCTTTTCTTCAGCTTTTTCCAATTAATTAGCAAAATGTGCCATACTGTTTATTCAACAAGATTCAATGTTGACATTGCCAATCAAATCAGCTTTAATGATTAAAACCGCTTCCAAAGTAATAGTAACTTGGTAGTAAATGGAAACTTCTCACTAAATGCAATATGAGGGCTGTAGCTGTCATATTTCCATGATTTTTAAGCATATTTCAGTGCTCTCTGAAACATGTGTCACTGTTTTATAACTTCTGACCATGTATAGCCACATTACAAAAATATTTGAATGCCTCACTCAAGCACATGGCCTAACCTACCTAAATTGTATATAATTTTTAGTTTAATCATTATTAACCCCATTTTTGTTGGGGGTGGGAAAGAGGGGAAATAGGAAGGTGAATGTAGCTCTGAATTTTCAAAACAGCCTTAGAGATTTAGCTGCCCAAGTGAGTAGGAGTGTCTGTACGGCAGTCGGTAAGCATGAAGCAGGGACAATGGGGAGACTCTAAGAAGGGGATACTTCACAAAAAGTACGGAGAGGTTTGGCAGAGCTAATGAAACGTGGCTACTGCCAGGACAGCGCCTGGGAGAAAGGATCCTACTACACCCTTTCCACAAACATGCAGATGATTTCCCACCAGCATCATTAACAGAAGCTGCGGTTTTTGTGGTACTGCAGGGACAGAGGAAGAGCGGGGTTAGTTTGACACCTCCTCACCTTCCCTCATTTCTGAGCTGAAGCACTTCACTGCAGGCATCTTTGCATAGGCATCTAAAAAGGCCAGTTTGGCCTGAGTGAGAACCCCAGATCAGTTGCTAAGGTTTGTCTCTAGAGGGAGATTAGAGCTGAAAATCTGAGGGAAATACCTTACTCTCCAAAATATATTTAGTTCTGCAGATACGACAGAACCTTAGGGCAGTTTGCGGGCTGTATTATTTTCCTTTGCTTTAGAAGCCTATATTTGGCCACTCAATACTGCCAAATACAAGAGTACTTCATTGCGGGTAAAAACTAGGGGTGCAGCACAACTCACAAATCCAATACGCTGGCTTCTTATATTGGGAAAAAAAAATCTATAATTCAGCTAATCAGCTCTACAAGTAACTTTCTAAACTGATGAATAGTCTGATCTGAATATTTGTATTCAGTGCTGTATTTAAAAAACACTGAACTAGATCAATTCTAGTGTACTTCAAATTCTTCAAGAATTCACTGCTATAAACTGTATATATTCCTGTTCTCTAAGAATAGATGGTGCCTGCCATGGGATGTATTCCACAGTTGTTTATATGATCTCTTTCAAGTGACATTTTGTACCCAGTTAGCATTATACTCTGTAGTACAGGTACCATAACTTACAGCTCGATCAAGAGCTTTTCCTGAAAGGAAAAGGAGCAAATTTTTTTTTTTTTTTTTTACTATAATTGGTTTATGAAACTCTTTTTCCTTAGAAATATATTCTGCATTTTGGTGTTGTTAACTGTTAAACCTTTTCACAGTACCCTCTTCCCGAAGAAATGCTTCCCACACTCCCCCCCCCCACTGTTTTTTAATCACATTCAAAAAAAAAAATTTTTAAGTAATATGTGCCAATAAATGCCTGAATTCTAGTTTCCCATAATTAACTACAAGTAGTTGGCTGCTTTACAGTGAGTTATACAAAGACAAGTGTATTAAATAGAACTATACACTACTGAAACCATAGATCTCCAGGGGCATAAACTATTGATCACCTCTCATTATACAAGAAAAAAATCTATGCGTTAATAGGGGAGGAGAAAAGATAAGAAATTGGATTAATCTGTATTACAGGGACTAACTGATACTGTCTAGCTACCTAGACTACATGCCTCAAATTATATTTAATTATATTTAAAAGGTTTACCTTTTATAGTCAGCATATTAAGAAATCTAGTCACAGTGTCAGTGTGCTAAGATGATATATCGTCTATCAGTTTAAGATTTCAGAAAAATACTTTAAAAGTCTCTAAATATTGGCTAGAGGAACTTAATAAGCTGAGGAAGGCTGACTTAGGGGGAAGAATTTTTGGCTGAATCTGCTACACTTCTGCACCTGCTGTGATAAATACAGTTTATACAAATTAGCTAGGTCACCAGTTCATGTCTTCTAAAGGAGGAGTTCGGCTCCAATGTGAGCTATAATGTAGCAGGACTTATAATAGACTGCAGTTATATATAACATGCGCTCTTTTTCTTAAGGTCAGAAGGGACCATTGTGATTTTTCATGCCAAGAGATCATAAAAAATTCTTAGAAGTAAGGTAGAACACTTTAGATGTCAACATCTCATGCAGTTAAAAGTAAAATGGGACATTACAGCAGAACAAAAATAAACTGGAAAAGGTCAGGATGCACAGACATTTTTGTACTGGCTGCTAAAATGGAATCACATTTCCCACATTCCCCTACCAGCCTCTTCTAGCAGTGGTTTAGTAGCTGTCAGGACTTTAATTCTTTCACAGAGAGAAAGGGAAGTACACTGTAGTGCTGCCTTGTCTATCTCCCAGTAAACCCAAAGGTTCAATTCAAAATCTAGAAGTTACTCCCCTCCCCACTTCCAAGCAAAATGGGTCACCTTCTAATTAGGAAGCAGAAATGTATCATGGAGCTAATAGCTGCTTCCTAATTCATCAGAGCCCTCCCTAGGAACGCAACCTGTGGAAAAGGATGGCTCTGTCCTCTCTTGAAAAAGAGAACACAATATATTAAGCAATCCCATTTTCATTACTGCTGCCAAGCACTTTCTTACCATTCTCTGTAGATGTAGGCCCTGTTTCAAATACCAGTAAGACACATTAAAAAAAAAAAAGACAAAAACAACGTCCAAATAATCTTTTAGTTCATATTCCAAGCTAATTTCAGTCTGCTACCCTCCTGCTGCTTGACTTCAGAATAACACTAAAGCAGAGTACCCACTGGTGAGGTCATCACTGTATTAGGCTTAGCTAAACCAATCAATTTACTAAATGAAGTAGTACATGGTGACCTGGAGGGAACCCTCACTCTCTGGAGTGCAAAGAGAGATGACCCAGCAGGATCTTCCATTTTAGACCAGCCAGGGATATTTTCCTTTCTTTACTTACTGAAACTTTTCATGGAATTGCATCAGTTTTTACTGACTGGGGGCTCTGGTAGCTTCTTAGCTCTAGGGTGGCATTTCTGAGGAGGGGAGGGAGAGAACCTAGGCTAGGTCAACAGACTGAAACATTTGTGGTTTCCTCTAATAGAAAAATAGAGGAGTTATGTATCTGTACATGGATATATATTCTTCTGTGCTGGAAAACTGTTTCCCACCTATGCTCTTTTTCTGTAAGGTCTGTAGAAGTATATGGCTAATTCAAAATAACTAAGGTAGTATCCTTATAAGGAGGGGGGCACAAAACCGCACCTGATAATTCTGGGGTCAGATTTTGCTTTGTCAAATTACTGCCTCTCCACTGCAGCAGTTGGATTTGCTTCAGATGCACAATCTTGCTGCTGACCTACCAGAGGTGTTCATTTGACAGTGGTAACTTCAAAAACCTCTGCGCCTTCCCCCTCTACTCCCCTCTGAAAAAGGGGGGGGGGTGCTGAAAGGGTGGATGTGCAAGAGACATGTAAGCTGATTTCAGTAACTGTGCTCTTATTGAAAGGTGCACATTTCTGAGAAATGCAGGAAATGCACCTGTTCAAGAGTGCAAGAAATGCTGACAGATACATAAATATTTATTCTGCGTATATATATGTGTGTCTGTAAGCCAGTTAATGGGCATATACAGTATTGAACCTGTTCTACTAAATGTTCCACTTGCCATATATACTGCAGGGGCTGTTGATGGAAGTGAGCAATGAACAGGTCTGTTATGCCAGAGGTATGGTCCGTGCAGACACTCCATCCCCAAACGCTTCACGCCTGATATGGGTGGCTGGTTGGAAGCCTCTTTCAATTCATGGGACTGCCCAGATTTTTTTTTTTTCTCCCCAGTATCCAAAGAGGAATAGTCTTGGAATAGAGAAAGCCCATAACATACTGCACTAACATAGAGTGGAAGGAGAGTCATATACTTAAATCCCCAGTCAACTGGGGTGACTTAATTGGCTCTACTTAGCAGGGTGCCCTTTCCTAATCTTTTGAATGGTTGGAAGACAAGACCAAATGAAGACAAAGACCTGCCAGAACTCCCCCGTTTGGGGAGTGCCACCCCTGCCTCCCAGCATCTTTTCAGCCCCAAAAGATTTGAACCCTTTGTATCCTTGGCACTGAAAAGCCTACTGAAACTGCAGTGCCCCAGCCTGCCCTGGGCTAGAGCAGGGAGCCAGTCCTTTAACGCAGAGGTGAGCTCGAGTTAGGGTTTTGTGCTCTCCTGCCCGCCGCTGAAGCCCACTTGCCACCAGCCCTATGTAGCTGCAGGGCTCGAGTCCAGCGCGCTGTATCTGGCCAGCGCCTGGCAGGTGAGTGGATCAGAGACGCTCAGAGCAGCTTTTGCAAGTTGTTTTGCTGTCAGGAAGGGGAGCTGCGCTCTGCTTTCACATCCATGCCTTTCTGCCATTATGCACCCTTGTCATTTAGCCCCGAGGGAAACAAGATTTAAAAAAAATGCCCAGGGGCCAAATCTGGACGGACCTGTGATCCAGGTGCTGCTGACCCATTCTCTTTCCTTCTCCCCCTCTCCTTCCTTCCCCCACCCCTGCTTTCTGCAGCGATGCCTC